TGAAAACCAACCCCCGGGGGGGCAAGGCCTCTGGGGGCCCACGCCGCCACGAAGTCGAGCACCGCCGGAGTTCTGGGCGACTGCCCACGCCCTATGGGCCTGGCCGGGCCCCCGGGTCCTCGGCCCAACGGCCGCGCACGGGCGCCCAGCTGGCACACGGTGCCGATCCTGTCCTTCGCCCGCTGACTGGAAGAGGACTGAGAGGAGGTTAGGAGGAGGGAGGGCCGAGGAGCTCCTTCCTCTTCCCTCCTCCTCCTCCTCCTCCTTCATCCTCCTCTCCTCCTCCTCGTCCTCCTTCCTCTCCTTTCCTCCTCCTCCCGCCTTCCTCCTCCTCCTCCTCCTCCTCCTCCTCTTCCTCCTCCTCCGCCTCCTCCTCCTCCTCATCCTCCGGCACCGGGCTGACTGGGGGTCAGCCTATTTGGGGGGTCAGGGGAACAGAAGGCAGACTCAAGTTCGGTGATGTTCCTCGTTCGGGGTCGCATGCCCAGCAGAAGCGATGACTTCCTGGCCTCTTCCCGGGCGGTGCCTGGAGATGCGTGGCCCAAGCCACCAGTCTTCTCTGAAAATCAGTTTTCCGTAGTTTGCCCTTCGCTGATTCTGACCCCCAGTAGTCTGACCCCCATGAGCAGGCGAACGATCCTGGGCCCAGGATGGGCCTGATCAGGATCGGTGCGCGTGTGCACACCTGGACTCTTCCGACGACGTGCCCTGTTCTCCAGTCTGCGGCCCCGGTGGTCTACGTCACACGTGCAGTCAAGGGAGGCAAGCTGCGCCGATCCTTGGCCCCGGCTGGGCCTGAGCAGGAGCGGTGCGCGTGTGGAAGGAGGGCGGGCTGAGGCAGCGGCAGCTCAAGTCGGTCCCACGGACCGCCCCCCGGTGCCGAGCTCCTCTCCGAGCTCTCCGAGCTGCGCCCAGCCGTGGCGACGAGGGGCCCCCAGAAGGCCAACTGCCGTTGTCTCCGCTCGCCCACCTCTGATAGAGGCCTCCCAGAGGGGGTCGGAGTGGATGGGGTCGGAGGACGCGCCGCATCGCCGAGGCGTCGGCGAGGCATCGGCGACATCGTCGTGGAGAAAAAATCGGGCTCCACATCGAGCCGCATCGCCGATGCATCGAAGATCTGGCGCGATCCTCCGACCCCATCTACCCCGACCCAATTCTAGGAGACCCAAAGTCCAGCCGTGGCCATGAGGGACCCCCGGAAGGCCAACTGCCGCTGGCCCCGCTCGCCCTCCTCTGAGTGCGTACAGTTCCACTCGCCCGGCCGCCGCGGGGTCCGCCCCGGCCCAGTCCGCCCCAGCCCGGCCGCCGCCGCCGCCGGCCGCGCCGGCGGAGAAGTGGTGGACCCGGGCCCGGCTGCCGAGGGTCTGCACGGCCAGCGAGTCCTCTGGGACGCAGAAGTAAGGAGCCGAACTTTACACACACACACACACACACACACACACAAACTAACTCTATATATATATATATATATACACACACACCGACGCTGTTTCCGGCCCCGCACTGGAAAGTGGAACCTGGTGTGTACGACATCCTGGTGTCTACATGTCTCGAAGCTTCCCCTGGAAAAGACGGGAAAACAGTATACACCACACCACCCCGACGCCCCGACGCCGACCCCGACCCCCAACAAGTCCTGGAATCGAAAAACGGTCCGCCACTGGGTACTCCGGATTTCATAATAAAGGGAGGGGGGTCTCATTTCGGGGGGGGGGTTCTTCCAGGCTATCTTGGAGGGCCTGGGGGGGTCTGGGGACGATGTTTTGGAGGGTTCTCCCACGGGGGAGGTCTGAAATGGCTTGTCTTGGAGGGTCCAGACCCCCTCCCTTTTATTACGAAATCTGGGGTAGTGTACACGCTCCAGCTTCCGAAGGAGGACACGCTGGTGCTGTGCGCCCTCCTCAGGCGCACGTCTGGACCGAACGTACGGTGCGGGCGCGGCCGCAAGAAACCCTCGCAAGAAACCCAACCCCGAGAACCCGTGCGCGAGGTGCACCTGAGGGGAAACCTGGAGCACCCTGAACGCAACAGCTCCTTCAACGACCGCGGGAAGGCACCACGCAGCGCGAGGAGCGAAGAAACCCCGGGCACCCTGACGAAGAGCGGATGGCTTCTTGATGCGCGCCCCCACTGTAGTACAGGGCAGTTTTTTTTTAACACATTGGATTTTAAAACTATGGGATCATGAATACATGATTAATGTATGAATACATGTATGCATGAACGCATCGTTGCTTTTAATACTAAATCCCTGCATCTTTCCCTACCTAGGCTCTGCCTAGAAGGGTTCTTACTCGCTTAGCTTGAAGGGGCCGGGCAGTGCAAATCGCCCCGGGCGGTCCCCCCAGTCCCCTGGGAGGTCCCCCCAGTCCCCTGGGAGCTTTAGCTTTAGCTTTAGTTCTAGCATTAGCGTTAGCTGTAGCTTAGCTTCAGCTTAGCTTTAGCTCAGCTTTAGCTTAGCTTTAGCGTAGCTTTAGCTTAGCTGTAGCTTAGCTTTAGCTTAGCTTTAGCTTAGCTTCAGCGTGGACGTAGCTTAGACGTAGCTTAGCTTTAGATTAGCGTTAGCTTAGCTGTAGCTTAGTTGTAGCTTGGCTTTAGCTTAGATTTAGCTTAGTTCTAGCTTAGTTTTAGCTTAGCCTGAGCTTAGCTTTAGCTTGGCGTTAGCTTAGCTTTAGCGTAGCTGTAGCGTAGCTTTAGCTTGGCTTCAGCTTTAGCTTTAGTTTGGTTTTAGCTTAGCTGTAGCTTAGCTTTAGCTTAGCTTTAGTTTAGCTTTAGCTTAGCGTTAGCTTAGCTTTAGCTTAGCCTGAGCTTAGCTTTAGCTTAGCGTTAGCTTAGAGTTAGCTTAGCTTTAGCTTAGTTTTAGCTTAGCTTTACCTTAGCATTACCTTAGTTGCAGCTTAGCTTTAGCTTAGCTGCACTTTAGCTGTAGCTTAGCTTCAGCTTAGCTTTAGCTTAGTTTCAGCTTAGATTAAGCTTAGTTTTAGCTTAGCTTCAGCTTAGAATTAGCTTTGCTTTAGCGTAGCTTTAGCTTAACTTTAGCTTAGTTGTAGCTTAGCTGTCGCTTAGCTGTAGCTTAGCTTTAGCTTAGCTTTAGTTTAGCTTTAGCTTAGCTTTAGCTTAGCTTTAGCTTAGCTGTAGCTTAGCTTTAGCTTAGCTTTAGCTGTAGCTTTGACTTAGCTTTAGCTTAGCTTTAGCTTAGCTTTAGCTTAGCTTTACTGTTACTACTAATGCCGCTTTCCTAGGGGCTCCAACTCCTAGGTAGGGTCGCACTGGGATAATTAATACATGATCCGCACGTGGAGCATATATTTTAAAAAAAGCACTGTACGAATATCTTGACGCATACAGGTTCCCGAGCGGCGTGCCAGGGCAGCGCACGCCACGGAGCTCGCGCTGGAAGGGCTCTGAGCGCGCGCGTCGCCCTCTTGCGGGGGCCCACGCACACCCCCTCTGTCAGCCGCCGTCCTCGGCCGCGGGGCCGCGCGGCAGCGGGTGGCTCAGGAGCTCGTCCAGGTCGGTGACGCTCGGGGAGCGAAGGGTGGCAGAACCATAAAAACTCGGAGGTCCGCGCGGAGTTCTCGGATCAGCGCTGGAGACCCCTGGCGGCGCCCTTTGCGCCGCCCCTGGCGCGCCAGGTGCGCCAGGGAGGGGGGTCCAGCGCCGATCCGAGAAATCTGCGCGGACCTCCGAGTTTTTATGCTTATGTCATTCTTCGCTCTCCTAGACGTAGTCGCCGGTCCACTCGCGCGCGCCCAGCGCCACCTCGAGCTCGTAGGGGGAGGCGATCGGCACCGGGAGGTCCTTCGTGACGAAGGGGAAGTGCTCCGGGGTGGCGAGGGACACGAAGCACTCTACCGCGGGGTAGCTCCCGAGCTTCTCCGCGGCGACCTTGCCCATCACGAAGCGGTACACCCGCCGACCTGAGCGCCGCAGCAGGAGCTCGAGCCGGTCCGCGACCGCCTCAGAAAAACAGAAAACAACAATAACAACAACAACAACAACAACAACAACAACAACAACAACAACAACCATAACAACAACAACAGCAACAACAACAACAACAGCAACAACGACAACAACAACAACAACAACAACAACAACAATCATTTTAAGACTGTTTTCTCTTACTGGCACGCGTGTCTTGCATTCCGTATACCCCAACCCTCCATACCCGCCCACCTCGTCTTCGATTGCACCCCTTTTTGGGGGGAATCTCTTCCTTGTCGGCCACTGACTGAAGTGCGGAATTGTCTCGAGCGAGGGCACCATTCGTGAGTTCGGGGGCCTCTCTGGCCGGGGGCTCTCGGAATACCTATGGAGAAATATCAAGCGGGAGCCCTCGTCGCCGTGTTTGGGCCTCCACCAACTTGCCTGAATTACGGGAAGTCTCGAGCAAGAGCGCCGTTCCTGAGTTCGGGAGCCTTATTGGCCAGGGGCTCTCAGAATAAATCGTGAGGAAGTACCGAGCAGGAGCCCTTGTCGTCGTGGCTGAGCCTCCGCCAACTTAATTCAATTGCGAGGAGGTCTGAGCGAGAGCGCCGTTTCTGAGTTCGGGGGCCTCTCTGGCCAGGGTGTCTCGGGGTAAATTGTGAGGAAGTGCCGAGCGGGAGCCGTTGATGTCGCAGCTGGGCCTCCAAGGGCCCACATTTAGGGTCAAGCCAACGCTCGAGCGGGAGCCTCGTTTTCAGAGAAAATGTAGCCGGCGTCGAGGCGAGAGCGCGCGGAACCGTTTCCGGAGATCAACAATAATTACTACAGAAAAAATTCGAACAACAACGACAACAACAACGAACAACACATAACAAATAACCAAGAACGAATAACAAACAACAAACTAAAAATTACAAACAATAAACAACAAACAACAAACAAAAAGCAACAACAAGAACAACAAGAACAACATGTTAAGACTGTTCGCCCTTATCTGCTCGAGTGTCCAATAACGCGTATTTCCCAAACCCTCGATACCCGCCCTTTCCGTTTTCGATCGAACCCCTTTTGGGGGGTATACCTTTCTTCCCTGCAGGCCGGGCCCCGGCAAGCGGCGGGGCGGCCGCGGACCGTCGGCCTGGCCAGCGGCAGCGCTGATCGGCGGGGCGGCCGCGGACCGTCGACCCGACCCCCAGAGGGACGGACAGGGGACCGACCACACGAGGACGACGACGACGACGACGTCGACGACGACGGCGACGACGCGACGACGACGACGACGGCGACGACGACGACGACGAGCGAAAGCGAGAGCGAGAGAGAACGACAGCAGGGCCACGAAGGACACGAAGTAGGCCACGAAGGGCGACAGCGGGGACACGAAGGGAATGCGTATGGGGCCACGAAGAGCGCGAACGAGCGGGGGCCACGAAAGGCAGATCATGCGGGGCCACAGAAGGCAACGATGGGGCCACTGAAGGTAGCAATTAGGCCACGTAGGACAGTGAGGGGGCCGCACACGACGACAGCGGGGCCACGAAGGGCATGCACATGGGGCCAAAACCGGCGCGAACGAGCGGGGGCCACGAAGGGCATACGAATATTGGGCCGCGGAGGGCAAGAACGAGGCCACTGAGTGCAGCAACGGGGCCACGAAGGGCAGCGAGGGGGCCACGAAGGGCGACAGCGGGGCCACGAAGGGCATGCATCTGGGGCAACCACGGGCGCAAACGAGCGGGGGCCACGAAGGGCCTACATATATGGGGCCACGAAGGGCAGCGAGGGGGGCACGAAGGGCCGCAACGGGGCCACGAAGGGCAGCGAGGGGGCCACGAAGGGCTGCAACGGGGCCACGAAGGGCTGCGACGGGGCCACGAAGGGCAGCAAGGGGGCCACGAGGGGCTGCAACGGGGCCACGAAACAAAGCGAGGGGGCCACGAAGGGCTGCAGCGGGTCCACGAAGGGCAGCGAGGAGGCCACGAGGGGCTGCAACGGGGCCACGAAGGGCTGCGACGGAGCGGGGGCCCTGGCTAAATGGTGAGGAAGTCTCAGGCGGGAGCCGTTGTTGTTGTAGTCCGGGGAGCAAGGGGCCAGTCTGAGCAGGAAGACTTGCTTTGATAAAAAACAAGGCGCGAGCCCCAGGGGGGGCACTTCAATTGAAAAAATCAATGTGCACCGGTGGGGGGGATCAACAATACATTTTCTTCAAAAATGAGAGTTCAACAACAACAACAACAACAACAACAACAACAACAACAACAACAACAACAATCATTTAAGACTGGGGACACTCCGTTCTCACCAGTGCCAGGGTTTTCATAGGAGGCGGGCAATACCCCCACTTTGTGGGGGGGCCGGTTCAAGCTCTACCAAGTTTCCAAACGACTCTTCGCCACCACCCACACCCAGCTTCCCGCCCTATGACGTTCGGACACTTCACTTCGTGGCCTGCGGACGACCTTGGCTACTACACTGGCGCATGGTTACAATGACTTCTTGTGGTAACATCTTGTGGAAACTAGCTTAGTATACGACTTATACCCCTGTTCCAACAATGGGCACGTGTACCGTTTTCCGACGTTTTAACGTTTCTGTACCACACAAGCCAAGACCCTTATTTTGACTGGTATCACGTGCGTGGCGCCAGCATACCACAGGACTTGTTTCCGTTGTTGTGAGACGATATATGCTCATTCTTGTTCTGTGGTTCTCGTTCCGGCCTCAATGTGCAATACTGGCTCACTCGTCGACGAAATACACGTGACTACCTCTCTCTGGTTGGAGGTCCTGATGGTTGTGGTTGTCCCGATAATTGTCGCGATGAGTGTCCCGATGATTGTCCCGATTGTTGTTCCGATGGTTCTCCCGATGGTTGCCCCGATGGTGGTCCCGATCGTTGTCCCGATGGATGTCCCGATGGTTGTCCCGATGGTTGTCCTGATGGTTGTGGTTGTCCCGATCGTTGTCCCGATGGTTGTCCCCATGGTTGCCGCGATGGTTGTTCCGATGGTGGTCCCGATGGTTGTCCCCATGGGTGCCCCGCCGGAAGAGGAGGAGGAGGAGGAGGAGGAGCAGCAGGACAAGGCGAGGCGGACGCATACGTGCTCTGGAAGCATACTAAAGAGACGAGTCTGTGTGCTCATCGTCTTCTGGCATGCGCCTGTCCCTAATGGCACGCATCGGGCGCAATACTGCAAGCTGCGCTCCTGGCACCCATACATCAGGGGCCAAGTGTCCCAGCATGGTGCCGATACGCCTCCTCGCGGACACATCGCCCGTGCGTCCGTGGGGCGCCAATACCGCCAGGACGCCCTGGACATGCGCCGGCATACCCAGATCCACACGGTAATCCATGACATTCCCATACTCGGACTGCCCGAAAGAACGCCATACAGGCATGTGCCCGCATGGTATTATTTGACAGGGATGATGGCCCTGGCAGGTGCGCAACCGTTGTCGCAGAAGTTCGAAAAAGTTGCTCGCAAAAGCCCGTTTGACAGAAATGTTTAAAAAGTGTTGGGTTTCCTACGAATCCGCAAGAGCGCGCGGGATGAGATTTTGACATTTTTTTGTTGAAAAACCATTGGTTTTTTGATGTTTTTATGTTAAAATCGCTGCGAACACTAAGCTTTTGGAAGGATTTCGTCTTGCGCGCGCGAATGTCCACTTTACCTTATTTTTTGCAAGGGATTCTTGAAATTTGATTATATTAGAACAAGAAATGTCATTTTATAGTGTTTTTTGCAAGGGAAAGCGGATTACAACAAAACAACCGGATCCTGACACACCCTCGTTTTACCTGAGGCTTCCTCACGAAAATGATGAAAATGTAGCTGCGGCCTAGGCGGCGCAGGGGGGGCGCGCACCAGGGGGCCCAACAATAATTATTCTTTAGAATAAATAATGTTCAACAACAACAACAACCACAACAACAACAACAACAACAACAACAACAACAGCAACAGCAACAACAACACCACCACCACCAACAACAACAACAACAACAACAACAACAACGCCAACAACAACATCAACACCAACACCACCACCACCACCACCACCACCACCAACAACAACAACAACAACAACAACCACAACAACAACTGCGTGAGTAGAAACTTTCGGAGATCCACACGGACTTTTTAGATCTGCGCTGGAGCCCCCCCTCTCTGGCGCGCGGGGAGCGCGCCAGCGGCGGCGCTGGGGGCGCCGCCAGAGGGCCCAGCGCCGATCCAAGAAATCCGCGCCCAGGTCCCCGAAGTCCCGACCCTTTCCCCGGGACGGGGTTTTCATCCTGAGCAGCTTGACGGTCCTGGGGCCCGCTTGGGGCCCCACCCCCGTCCTGTTCCCAGGACGTTGCCGAAGCTCCCAAAGTGTATGCTTATAGTTTATAGTAGGGGCCCGACCACAGGAAACCTCCCGCAAGAAACCCGACCCTCAGACCCCAGGACGTCCCATCGAAACCCAAGAAACCCAGGGTACCCTGGAGGCAAGCAGGGTGCTTCTTGGCATGGGCACCCACTGTATGTATGCCCATGTGGCTTGTTCCTTTCCGAGGGTCCGCAGCCGCCTGGACGTGCGCCGCGTACGACGGGGTGACCAGCAGCCCGAAGGTGCCCGCGGCCCTCGCGGGGCCCTCCCACAAAGGGGGCCCGAGCAGCGTGGGGCGCGGGAAGATCGCGCCGCCTCGGCGACGTCGGCGTGAAGAAACTCTGGCCCTACACCGAGCCGCATCGCCGACGCACCGGCAGTGCATCGGCGATGCGGCGCGACCCTCCGACCCCGCCTGTCGGAGCAGGTCAAGCTTTAGACAACGGCACCTCAAAATCGGTCCCCTGGACCCCTCCCGAGGTCCAAGCGCGCCAGTTTTCCGAGCCGCGTCCAGCCGTGGCGACGAGGGAACCCCCCGAGGGCCAAAAAGAGGCGACGCATCGGCGATGCATGGGCAGGAGAGCACAGAATCGAATCGATAAGTCGGATCGGCGATCGACATAAATCGAATCGGCGGAAAGCGGAAGCCAAGCCAGAAGAAGTCGAATCGGCGGAAATCGGCAAGTTAGTAGGCCTCCATTGAGAAATCGGAACCCATTCGAAAGTCGAGGCCGAATCGAATCGGAATCGGAAGCCACCGCCGAAATCGAATCGAATCGGAAGGATCGAAGCGAGCCGATGCATCGGCGATGCGTCGCCGGTGGGGCGCAAGCCAACGACCCCACCTACTCAGGCTGAGGCCGGGCATGTCCTCCTACGGGCGGAGCTCGGAGAAAGAATGACACTGACCAAAGCAGATGCAAGAGTTGCCTCGAAACTGCTCGACAGGTCGTCCCCCCCGAGATTGGCTTTTGCATATACTTGCGAGCACGTCCCCTGCAGATCGGGAGACTCTCCATGGGGGGGGATCCCATGGGGGGGCAGGAGGGGACCCCCCCCATGGGATCCCCTCCTGCCCCCCCATGGGATCCCCAGGGGATCCTATGGGATCCCCCCCCTGGGATCCTATCCCCCCATGGGATCCCCCCCCATGAAGAGTCTCCCGAGCAGAGGGGCCACGCCGACCCGAGCCCGGCCCCCGGTTTGGGAGGCCCGCGCCTCGCCAGCTCCACCAGGCGGTACCTCTGCATCAGCAGCGCGGTGCTGCACAGGCGCTCGACGCCGCCCCCGGAGGGGTCCAGGCGCCAGACCTGGAGGGCTGCAGGGGCGGCCGGCGCGGGGGCGCGCCTCTGTCGCGAGCAGTGGCGGAGCGCCCTGGCCCGCCGACATCGACGAGCGCGTGCCACTGCTCACGCAGAGTAGCTGCTCGCAGAGTAGCTACTCGCAAAACGGGGGCGCGATCTTTTCGAGCAGTGGCGGAGCGCCCTAGCTCGCCTATACAAAGGACAACCAAAAAAAACATAAGAAAAAAAAAACGACGCACGAAGCCGTGTACTGAACGGCCCCACGGAAGGAATCGAAATGGGCAGGGCTGCTGAGTAAGCGCCCGGGGGGCCGTTGAGCAAACGCCAATTGTCCGGTCTGGGCGGTTCTTCCTCCCTTGACTACAGGCCCGCCAAGGAATGTTCTGAGAACTAGTTGTGGTCTGCACGAAATGTTCTTAGAACATCTCTGGCTGAGACTGTCTTGTTTCAACACATCGGGCTCACGTTCTGAGAACATTGATTTTGTTCTGAGAACATGTTTGGGTTCCAAGAATTTGTCGGGGTAGGCCTACAGGAATGCCGGGACGGTCGGTCCCTGTGCAAGATTTTTGCGCACAACCCCCACAAGTAAGCTGGTCCGGCAACAGGTGCGCAGAGGGAGGGTTGTGTACAAAAATGGCATCCCCTGAGAACACGATGTTTGTACACCACCCCGCAAACAAGGTGGTCCGGCACAAGCTACGCGGGTAGGGGCGAAGGTCAGAAATCAGCACCCGAAGGAGGAGGAGGAGGAGGAGGAGGAAGACCCATACCGCCTCGCGTCGTGAAAAATTCAGGACGCCCTCTTTTTGTTTGCCACTTTCGAGCTCCTGGTGCCCCCGCCGGGCCCCAGGACCGTCAAAAAGCGGCTCGGGATGCCAAACGAGTCCCGGTGCATGGATCGGCACCTCCAGGGGTGCACGCTGCAATACAAACAAAACTGCATCAGCATGAGCAGCCACGGCAGACGGCAGGCCCGTGCCGCGACGACCCCGGCGGCGTTGTTCCCTGACACCGCCAGGATCGCTCCACCTGGAACGATATCGGCGGCTTCTGGGTCGCCAGATCGTTCCCTGGCTGATTCTGGGCCACCGGCGGCGTTCGCCTCCGCCTCCGCCTCCGCCTCCTCCTCCTCCTCCTCCTCCTCCTCCTCCTCCTCCTCCTCCTCCTCCTCCTCCTCCTCCTCCTCCTCCTCCTCCCCTCCCTCTCCTCCTCCTCCTCCTCCTCCTCCTCCTCCTCCTCCTCCGGCGGCGTCGGCACGACGCGAACCTGCCAAAACCGTGCATCTCCGGAGGTCCACACGGATCTCCTGGGTCGGCCCCGGGCCCCCTGCTGGCGCCTCCTTGCGCCGCCGCTGGCGCCGCTGGCGCGCGCCAGGGAAGCGTGCGTCCGCCGACGAGCCAAGGGATCCGCGCAAACCTGCAGCATGTGATGCGTATGCTGCGCAGCTTTGCTGTCAGCATCGCTGGATCAATCCCCATCCCCGTCGGATAAACCTGTCCCCCTCCTGGCCGGCCGGCCTCCCCTGGTGGGGAAAGACGCAAGACGCCGGCTCCGCCAGGACTCCCTGGCACACACACACAGACTCACCTGGAGGCGGCAGGCCGGTGGCGCGAAGGAACCCTGGCCCACTGGGGACGGGAACAATCGCGGCACTTGGAGCAGGGAGGGGCGGGACAACGGCAGCTCAAATCGGACCCCCAGAGCCCTCCTGGGGGTTCCACGCTCCTGCTTCCCGAGCTGGCTCCAGCCTCGACGACGGGACGGCACCAGACCCCCGACGTCATGATTTTTTCATGACGCGACCCCCAGTGGTCCTGGCCCACTCCCTGCGCCCGGCCTTTCATCCGGAGTCATTTTTTGACGGTCGCGAGGCCCAGCACGGGCCCCCAGAGGCTGGAAATCAAGATAGCGAAAGGCCTCCCGTCGCGTTCCTTTCACACCGCGAGGGCGTCCAGCCTTGACGACGGGACGGGGGGGGCCCCCGAAGGCCAGCCACCGCTGCCTCCACTCGCCCTCCTCGGAGGTGGGAGGAGGAGGAGGAGGAGGAGGAGGAGGAGGAGGAGGAGGAGGAGGAGGAGGAGGAGGAGTGGAGTGGAGTGGAGTGGAGTGGAGTGGAACCCATCGCGAGTGCGATCCTGACTAAGCCCCGGCCTCATAGCACACCCTCGAACGCCAGACCTGCGCCAGCCTGCCTCAGGACCTTGGGATATGAAGCCCACGCTGTCCTGTGAGAACTCCCTTGCCATGTGCCGAAAGTGGCCTGCCGTAACCATACACAACACTGCGCAGGACAGTACAGAAGAAAATCAAATACCGTTCAAAGCTGCAGAATACACGTTCACATACCCTTCATCTCACATTTGCTTGCACTCCTGCTGCTCCCTACTTCGGGTGGCGTCAGCCCAATCTATCACAGCCGAGCCGCTGGGCAGGAAGGAAGCGGCCTGTCCTCCCCGTAGAGTCTCAGCATCTCGTACAAGTCGCGCTCTAGTAAAACTGTTCTCCCAATCGTTGAGCTCAGAACTCTCTCCCCCCTTGTCGAACGCCCTGGTCGCAGCACTGTTGCTGATCACGTCGGGCTGCAACTTCGCCCCCGACTTCTCGCGCACACTGTGAACAGGATGGTGACTGGGGGTGGAGGCCGACGACCATTTCGCTTCCAACCACGCCTTGGCGATGCACGCTCGGGCGGCCCACCACACTGCTGAATTCGATGATACACCAGGTCGCAGGGCAGCAGCGTCGGCCACGACGGCGGACGGCGAGACGACGTTGGCGTCGGACTCGTTCTCCTCGAGCTCGGCGTCCAGCCGAATGGGAAACGTTCCCAAGCCCCCAGGGCGAGTGCGCCCCCTGGGGTCGACGCGGGCAGGAGACGGGGGAATGGCATTCGCCCCCGTCCCCCCCCAGCCCCCCATGTAAGAGGCCCCATGGGGTGGGCACTGGCCTGCAGTAGTCTGCGCGTCCAGCGACGCTCCCGCGGCCCCTGCAGCAGGGCAGTGATCCCCCGTAGGGGCCCTCACATCGGCGCCCGTCGCCTCTGCAGCAGCAGCGCCCGCGGCGCCCTCGGCAGGGCAGTCATCCCCCGTAGGGGCCATCTGGGCTGCGAGCCCTTCCGCCGCCGCTCCGTGCACCTGGCCGCCGACCACCGCGACCGCGCCTGAGGAGAACACCGTGGTCCCGCAGGTGCAGACGAGGCCCTTCGGAATGGGCACGAAGGCGGGGACTGACGAGCGCATGCGGGAGCAACCAGCTGCCGCCAGCTCCGTCGGCGCGTCCACCTCTGCTTCATCGGCCTCAGCCGCCTGCCGACGCGCCACGCGAGCCTCGATCCTCGGGCCGCGTTCCAGCTGGCGCAGCACCTGGACCGAAGCCGTCGCCAGGCGAGCGCCAGGAGCATCGGCGTGCAACGCGACGTTGCGCCTGAGCTTCTCCTCACCGCTTGGCGACCTCCCTTCCAACCACGCACGGAGGGCAGGCGCCAATGCGAGCACGCGCTCCGCCAGCTCGGGGTGGCCGAAGATCTCCGCGAGCTCCCGCTGGACCTCCTTCAGCGCCGCGAGCTGGCCCGCATAGTTCTTGACGGCGGCGTCGGCGGATGCCATCGCCGCACGCCGCGCGGCTCCACGCTCCGCGCGCGAACGCCGCTCTCCAGTTGAAAGATCGCCATGCAGCGGCGACCCTGCCCGTGCCATTCTCAAGCCTGTTCAAACCTTGCAGCGCCACACTCCGGACCGGCCATGCGCGGGGGAAATGGCGACCAAGGGGTTTGAGGCTGGCTTGAGCCAAAATGGCTACGGAGAGGAGGAGGAGGAGGAGGAGGAGGAGGAGAAGGGAGGAGGAGGAGGAGGAGGAGGAGGAGGAGGAGGACGAGGAGGAGGAGGAGAAGGAGGAGGAGGGAGGAGGAGGAGGAGGGAGGAGGAGGGAGGAGGGAGGGGGCCCGTCTTCGAGGACCGGGCGGGCGCAGCCGTGCCGCAGCAGCAGCGGCCCCTCCAGCGGGCCGCCGGGGGGGGCCACGAGCACCACGCCGCACCCGTCGGGCAGTCCCGCAGCTGCCCCTCCCGGGGCGCCGCGGACCTCCCGCCCGCACAGCCTGCGGGCGCCAAGAATATACACCACCACCACCACCACCACCACCACCACCACCACCACCACCACCACCACCACCATTTTCACCCCCCACCCCTCCTCCTCCAGCCTCTTCTTTCGTCCGCCCTGGGAGACCCAGAGATCCGATGTCGTGATTTTTCCAATACGAGGTCCCCAGAAGTCTCGACTCATTCCCCCGGACCGATTTCTCGTCCCGAGTCGTTTTTCGACGGTCCCGTGGCCCGGCGAGGGCCGCGAGAGGCCGAAAATAGCGAAAAACCGCCGTCTTGATTTCTTCAATACGCTGGATCTCTGGGGAGCGAAGGGGGCCAGGGAGGTGGTGGTGGCGATCTAGGTTTTGGCCCCGCGCAGCCGCAGGGGCCGCGGCGTGGCGGCGGCCGCGAGCGTGGCGGTGCCCAGGGAGGCCCACCAGGCGCTGCCCAGCGGCAGCGCACCAAAGCGCCAGTCGCGCCAGCGCGCGGGGCTGCCGCTGCCGCCCGCGGCCTCTCGGGGCGGCGGCGCGCGGGCGGAGGGACGACGGCGCGCCGGCCGCGTGCCGAACGGGCGTGGTGCACGCCTGGCGTCGCCCGAGAGAGGGAGAGAGAGCTAGAGCTAGAGCTAGAGCTAGAGAGAGAGAGAGAGACAGCCAGAGAGAGAGAGGCACAGAAAGAGAGAGGGAGCCAGAGGGGAGCCAGATAGAGAGAGACACACAGAGAGAGGGAGCCAGAGAGAGGGAGCCAGAGAGAGAGAGGCAGAGGGTGAGGGGGGGGAACCCTCAGAGACGGTTGGTAGAGGTGGGGGAGCGAGAGGTGAGGGGGCGCGAGAGGTACAGGAGGGGAGGAAGCGGCGGGGTGGACAGAGAGAGACAGAGAGAGAGAGAGAGAGCGAACGGACCAAAAAACAACAGAAACAACAAAAAAACGATAATACACACTGGGAGGGAGGGAGGCAGGGGAGGGGAGGGTAAAAGAGGGTGAAGGGATAGGGGAGGTGATGACGGAGAAGGGAGGGAGAAAGGTAAGCTGATAGGCCACGGGAGGAGGGAGGGAGGGAGAAAGACATGCTGAGAGGCCGACCGACAGAGGGTGGTGGCAAGTAAGCAAAATAGCGAACACACACACACACACACAGACAGACAGACAGACAGACAGACAGACAGACAGACAGACAGACAGACAGACAGACAGACAGACACACACACACAAACACACACACACACGCACACACGCACGCACGCACGCACATATATATACATACATACATGCATACATACATACATACATGCATGCATGCATGCATGCATGCATACATACATACATACATACATACATGCATGCATGCATGCATGCATACATACATACAAACATACAAACATACAAACATACAAACATACAAACATACATACATACATACATACATACATACATACATACATACATACATACATACATACATACATACATACATACATACATACACATACATACATACATACATACATACATACATACATACATACATATACATACATATACATACATACATACATACATACATACATACATACATACATACATACATACATACATACATACATACATACATACATACATATACATACATACGTACGCACATACATACATACATACCTACCTACATACATACATACATACATACATACATACATACATACATACATACATACATACATACATACATACATACATACATATACATACATACATACATACATACATACATACATACATACATACATACATACATATACACATATACATATATATACACTCACACGAGGCGAAACTGCTGGGGAGCGGCTGGGAAGCCTCGGGAGAGGCTGGAAAAGCTGCAACCTCCACCACCCCGGGAAGCCAACAGAACGACACCGCTGCTCCCCCGACCTCTCCCGTGGAGTGCGCTCGAACCAGAGCTCGCGAGGGAGCCCAGCCGTGGCGACGACGAGGACCCTCCTGGTCGAACAGCGGCATCGGCATCTCTTCCTCATCCGACCACCCTCGTCGATGGAGAAACGAGCGAAAAGAAGTGCGCAGGCACAAATCAATGGAGATCCGCGCGGGTATCTTGGATCGGCGCTGGGCCCCCCTCCCTGGCGCGCAGAGCGCGACAGGGGCGGCCCCAGAGGCGCCGCCAGGGGGGCCCACGCCGATCCAAGAAATCCGCGCGGACCTTGGTGATTCGATCCTCCTCCTCCATCTTCCTGTCTTCCTTCCTTCCTCCCTCCCTCTCCCTCCCTCCCCCTCCCTCCTCCTCCTCCTCCTCCTCCTCCTCCTCCTCCTCCCTCCTCCTCCTCCTCCTCCTCCTCCTCCTCCTCCTGCTCCTCCTCCCCTGAGATCCGACGGCGCGGAAAAAAATCGCTGGCCCCACGGGCCAGAGGCGTGCTAAAATCTCCAGTAAGAGTCCAAGGATGTTCCCACTTCGCGCGCGCGTGGCAGTCCCTGGGGGCTCCCAGACGAAACGTACCCTGGCCAGGTCCTAGCAAGGTCCTGGCATGTCCGACAGGTCCGTATCAGAGATGCCAGAACTCCTGGGCGCAGCCTCGGATGCCCCCAGAGCGCACCAGTGGGGCGCCAAAAGTGGGAGGCAGGCCCCGCGGCCTCAGGCGAAGAACGTTCCAAGGATGGCCCGAGCTGGTCCGAAGACGGTCTCCACGAAGCGCCCAAGACGCCCCATGGAGGGCTCCGAGAGGCCTTCGGGACGCCCCAGAGACACTGAGAAGCCATTGATTCCGCCGGGGTGTCCGGGCGATCTGGGCGGCAGCGCCCGGTCGGGCCGCCGACCGCCCTGGACGGCCCGAGGGCCCGCCGGGATCGCCCAAAGGACCGCCCCAGGAGGCCCCCCGGGACGGGCCCGAGACGGCCCCAAAGAGGACCACGAGGCGGCTCGGGAGGCCTCCCCGGCGGGCTCCCCGAAGCCGCCACGAGCGCCCCGAGAGGGGGAACTCGGCCCGACAGCCGTGTCGAGCCTTCCCCCGCGAAGGCTCGCCCCCGCGGCCGCCAGCCAGGCGCCCATGGGAAGCCCGGGAGATGGCCCGCGCTGGTCCAGCGACGGCCCCCACGGAGCGCCCAAGACGCCCCAGGAGGGGGCTCCAAGAGGACGTCGGGACGCCCCGGAGAGACATGCTTAAAATCCTTGGTCTCGCGAGGGTGTTCGGGCGATTCGGGCGGTACCCCCGCCTTCGCGGACTGCCGACCGAGGCCGCCAACGTCGCACCTTCCGCAACCCTGCTCAGCTGTGCGGGCGCGTCTCGGGACGCTGCTGCAGCTCTCTGGAGCCATCCTGCAGCATCACCAACACCAACACTGATGCGAACTGGGCTGGCGAAATGAGCGAAGCGCTGAAAGACAACGTCGTGAAAGTCACGATCTGATCCCCCGCTCCCATCTTTCTGCGGCAAGTTTCGAGCCAGATCGATATGTGAGGGCCCTAGGACCCGAAAAGATGCGAAACGCGCGAACGCCCGACTCGAAAAAATGCGACGCCAGCACCCGGGGTTATCCTCCTTCGGCGACTCCGAAGGGTGTGGTTTGCAAAGGGTGTGGTTTACAACAGGTACCCTGGGGGGCACCTTGGGGGGCGGGGGGGGGGACCTCGGTAGAGTTCTCCGCCGCGCCCCGAGGCGGCGCGACGAGGACAGCGTCGTGCCGCCCAAACCCCAACGGCGCCGATCGCAAACCACACCCTGGCGCAACCATGCCTGACCTGAAAAAATGCGACGCCAGGATCTCGGGGAGGCAAAAGTGACCTTCCGTGCGCGGATGAAGGGGGGGGCAAGGTGGCCAAGTCCAAGCGTGCAAGCAGCTGCTATCGCATCGCGCTCAGCGATCGGGGGGGCCCCGGTGAGCCCGCACAAGGTCACTCCGGCGAAGGGTCACTCCTACGCGTAGCCAATCCTCCCCCTATCGGCGATCAATGTTTGGGGGTCGGTGCACTCCCACCTATGCCTGTGCCCCTCTATCATTGCCCCTGATCCTCCTGCTCCTCCTCGAGACCGCTACGGTGCGTTCTGACCAGAATTTCGTGGCGAATCCAGCCGTGCCCACAAGGGCCCCTCAGGGGCCCCTCGGGAGGCCCAACGAGGGGAAAACGAGGCAAGGGTAGCGGTACGGGCACCCTTTCCTCCTCCGAATCTCGGGGTCCTCCTCCTGCTCCCGCCCCCCCGTCCTTGCCCCCCGGCTTCCGGGCCACAACTCGGCTCTCCAGCGGCCGTTCGGGACGATCCCGGCACCCCCGGAGAACGCCCTCGGCGAGGCGCAGCTGACGGAGAGCACCCATGGGCCGCAAAACCGCCGAGATCCGCCGAACACGCCCGAAAACCTCGAGCCTCGAACCGCGAACCTGGGGTTAGGTCGGGGCGTGTCCCCCTACAGGCGGATTCTGGGCGGAAGTACCCAACAAATGCTACAAAATGGTGTTAAATACTCAAAAAAATCGTCCCCCGATTATTTTTCTCTATTTTTGAATGTTCCCCCTGTAGAGGGACAGGCCCGACTTACACCTGAAGCCGGAAGCCTGGAATCCCCCCCCCCCCTATCTAGAGGCCTCCTAGATGGGGTCCGAGCAGATGGGGGTCGGAGGATCGCGCCGCGTCGCCACTGCATCGGCGACGCATCGGCAACGCATCGGTGATGCATCTGCGACGTCGGCGATGCCTCGGCGACGTCGGCGTGCAAGCAGAGCGGGCTCCGCGTCGAGCCGAATCGCCGATGCATCGGCGGTGTGGCGCGCTCCTTCGACCCCGTCTACTCCGACCCCATCTAGGAAGTCTAGAATTAGGTCGGGCATGTCCCCCTACAGGCGGATCTTGGTCGAAAATAAGAAAAAATGTCAAAAATGCTCAAAAATGATTGAAATACGCTCCAAAAATCGTCCCCAGACTACGTTTCTACGATTTTTAACAGTTCCCTTGTAAAGGGACAGGCCCGACCTAAGCCTAAACTCTTGAGCCTCGAACCTCACGCCTCGAACCTGGAGCCTGGAGCCTGGAGTCCCCCCCTACCGCCGCCCCTGATCTCACTGCGCCTGGGAGGAACTAAAGGGGGGGATAGCAAAGGGTAGGGTAGAGAATCAGCTCACGTAGCTGATTTTCCCGGCGCCTCCCGCCGCCGGGAGGCGCCCATGTATCGAGGAATGGGCCCAGCGGCAGGGCCGAAACCAGCTGCATGCAGCAGATTTCGTACCCCCCCCTTTCCCTATCCCCCCCTTTCGTTCGGCCCGATGCTCCTCCTCGAGAAGGGGAGCCTCGAGTGGGGCTGGGGGGCCAGGCCTGCACACCCCAAAACGGACGCCCAGGGGTGCAAGAGACCCGTTCGACCAAGCTGGAACTGATGATGCACCACACCCGGCGTCGAGCCAAAACTTTGGACAATCGGCAGTGGACAAACCCCCCTTTAGTAAGCCACCCTTCAGTGAAAACGGCCTAGGACCGAAACCGACGGACCTGGACCTGCAAAAATAACGGCCGTGACGCCCTCTCGCAAACCGAAAACGGCCAATTCACTAATCGACGTGTCAGGGTAGGAGGTCGATCAAACTCCGAAACATATGAGCGAACGGCTGGATGTTGCACATCTTCGTCGGCCTGACCCGCGAGGCGTTGGACCGCCTTGACGCCCCTCTTTCGGTGGTCCTGCAGAGGGAGGCGCTCTCCGACCCTCGGCCCTGGGCGGCGACGACAGGGGCGAATGGCCCAGGGGCGGGCATTACACGCATTCGCCCGGGAGCCTTCTCTTCGAAGACCTAGATCCTCGGCGCACCTGAAGACATGTGTTGCTCTCCCCCGGGCTATTCGCCCCCATCCTGGCCATCGCTCGGACGTCCATTCCCTGTGTTTTTGTTTCGGCTTCGCGCGTGGCTTTTTCGCAGGATGCTCCAGGATGCTCCCTAGTGGTCCCCGCCGAGAGAGAGTGCACACCTCCGAGCGATGCCGAGCACCGTCGCCTCTGAGGCCCTGCTCCCGGGGCGCCCCGCCGGCGCCGCGCGGCCCGCCCGACAGGACGGGCCCGGAGTGTCCTGGAGAATTCCGTCCCGGACTTCGAGGTGAATTCCGTGCGGATTTTTTCTGGGGCCGGGAATGAAGACGAACAACACATCCACGCGAAATTCGCTTCGTTTTTCATTCGCCCTTTCAGGGTTCTGCATTGGCAGAAATCCGCGCAACAATCCGCTGCGGCGGGCGAGGGCGGGCCTGCAGCTGCGGCTCCGCGACCAGCACGTCGCCCAGCCCGGGGACCTGCGCCTCCGAGCGGGGGCGGCGCCGCCGGAGAGGCCCCAGGGACCGCAGCCTCCTCTGCATCGAACGAGCGAGGCCTCCTCCTCCTCCTCCTCCTCCTCCTCCTCCTCCTCCTCCGCCTCCTCCTCCTCCTCCTTCTTAAGTTGTTTTTTGCTGAGGGGACTTCCGCTGCAAATCCTGCAGCGTTCATCAGGAAACCAAAAAAAGGCAGGCCGTACCTAGCAGCAGTAAGAAAGCTCAGGGGCAAATCAGTGTCAAGGAGCATCAAAGAGTAGAGCATACAGAATGAGCTGCATGGACAAGTAACGCAAAGTCCTGTTCCTCTTATCTGTGACCCCACCCCCTCATCGACCTGACCCTCCCAAAGAGCAGGTGTGGCCTTTGACGAACGACTACAATGCACAGGGTTCCAGTTTGTATGCCCTGGGCTCGATTCGGTGCAATGTGTGCCCATCCAATTGGATGGCCATCGCTGCGGACTGTAACCGCGCCGACGAGCTAAGTAAACTCGAAGTCTCCCCAAATGTTTGGCGGGGGTATGATACCGATTCCAAAACATGCGAACGACGCTGAGGAGGCTGAGTGGACGGAAGCGGAGGAGAGCGTTACGGCTGAACCTATGATATGTTATGGCCGCCGAAAGGCTATAGAAGCAGCGACGGTGCCGGCGCGAGCCTGTCCAACGAAAGCCCCCCCAACCCGCCCTATCATGAAAAATCCTCCTCCTCCCCCACACTACCCCGTTCTGTGTAGAATTTGCAAGACGTGACAGTGAAAACTCGGTAACTGACCGAACACACACACACACACACACACACACACACACACACACACACACACGCGTACACCACTGGACGTCTTGAACGTCCTTTTGGGGTCCATGTGGAAAAACGACCGGTTCCCGAGGCTGGATGACGCAACTATGGGTTCCACAGTCCCTGATACTCGAGGCTCAAGCGTGCGCGCGGACGTTCCAGCATCTCTGAGCGGTCCCACCGTCGAGAGAGGCTGACGAAAACACACGCGCCCACACACAATGACCTTTCCCCATCCCATGCTGTCGCAGTGGACAACGATCCACACCGCCCAAAGTGAATGTACCAAATATTGCGTGCAGGCTCAGAGGCTGGCACAGACTGTGCTGGTTGGCCTGTGAGAGCACTTGTACGCTCGCTGACAATATGATTCACCGGCTCTTCCTCACTCCTCCACCAGTCACCTCCCGGCCCTCACCCCCCTCCAGAAGGAAATGCGTAGCTGATGCTGAAAATGCGGAGCTGAAACTTGAGATAGCGGTTAGACTTGCCAGCTCGAAATAGACGACAAAATTTGGGATGCGCAGCTGAAACTTGCGATACGCTGTAACACTCTGCAAATACTTTAATAATGTGAGCCTGGAGCTCAAACAGAAACTAACTGCGGCAATTCGTGGGCTGCTACCCAGGCTTCATGCAGTTCACGCCAAACCTGCTCAACCCCGGGACCACCATGTTTGTCACCACTTCTTTGACGGTTAAGCACGAACCCTAACCGAGCACGGGCGACATGCTTGCTATGCAGGCTGGCTCTGAACTGCCGCCGCAATGTCAAATATTGGAAGTTGTTGGGGTGCGGGGTGCACTCCTGCACCTATACCAAATGGTGCGTAGCAGGCTCTGCCCCTCCACTACCTCCACCTCCACCTACTCTACTCTCAAAAACGTGCCACGCTGTCCTCCCCTGCGCTGGCCTGCAGCGGCTTGCCCCCGCTAGAGATAACTCGATCGCCAAGAACATGAACATGTCAAGTATGACGCGCCCCTACTAAGGATAACCTTTCCAGAGGGCGTGAGTGTCTCCTCCTCCCCTACTCCAACGCGCAACCCACGCCTCCCCCTTCTCCGCCAGCGACGCGCCAAATGCGCGCCACAAGGATCGATACCGAGAAAAAGCCTCGAGGCATAACGATGAGAGAAGATGGAAGAACGAAAGATGAAGATGATGGCAAATAACAACGACGGGAACGAAGCGACTGGAATAATGCGATGCGAAGTTGAGAACGCAATATGACGCTGAAAGCTGTACGCAAGACCTGCGTACCGTAGAATGTGCAAGCAATATAGATTTCGGTGGGAAGAACAGACGTTGCTGAAACTGGCTCATTCATGATTCGCCATCCTCTCCAATCAGTGCAGGTATGGTCGCAGCTCGGCCATCGAAGGTTGAAGCCAGTTCATCAAAAAAAAAGTAAATCATCATCCGAGTCGCTGGCGTCGAAAACTACATCTCCCAAGTGTTGACAAATAACGTGTGATGTGCAATCTTGTCAGCAAGCATGTCGTTGCAAAAACAATACAAATGATCCTTCGTCGGCGCCTTCACATCAGGTGTGTCACAATTCCCACTCCTTGGTAAATACGATGCTCACGTGTTGAGTGTCGGCGTAACGATCGGCAGCCTGGAGAAACTCGTTACGCAACTGCTGCAACGTTTCAGAGGTAGTGTTGTTGCGAATAAACTTGCCATTGGCTCCTCTGATGACCCCAAGGTGACCAGGATGCTCCCGTAATTCGTTTGAGCTTGAGCTTCTGGCATGTGTGTTTCCGGCAATTGTGTCAGTGATGTTTTATGCAGTCGTGTTGCTTGTATTATCTGCAACGACGTCTGTGTCAACCAATTATTCGACAAGCGGGCCCTTCACAAAAAACTGTCCTGCCAGAAATGGCAGGCATGTTGAAATTGACGACGCTTGATGAAATTGAGAGCACGTCCACCTCTGCTCCTGCAGAGGTATTACGTGGGTGTGCGAAGTGCGCCGAATCTGCGGTGCTATGCGATGTCGCCGAATATTCAGCGAAATTGTTTTCCATCAACCTTATTTGTGTCATCTTTATCAAGAAGAATCTGCCCTCTTGAGCTGATGCGTGGTGTTTATGTCGGAGGCGGGCTGGGATGTAGTTTCTCAATATTTGGTAGAAGGAAGAGGAGCAGGCAACTGCAAGTAATTGTCACGAGCATCATCACTGTATTGCTCCCAGCTTCTATGCTGCCCCCAGGCCATGTTGCACCCCGTCTGTTGGCACTTCACTTGTCTGGACAAGCAAGAGTACAGGCGCATGTTTACTTACAGACGAGGTGAGCTCTAAAACTTGACTATTTGCTGCAATGTTGGCAGTCCTCGCTCTGGATGTGTCAACCATAGATCTGTTCCACACGGTTCGAACGTCGCTGATTCGTGTATGTGCTCTCTGGGCACTGGCCGCGAACCCCATGCCGCATCGCCTTGATAACATCCGTACTGTCGCATACCATCGGGGAAGGGTCGTAGGAACGGGAATGAGAGCACGAATAAAATAACACCATGGCGTGCAAGGCCTCGATCACCGATCGGATGGGTCTCGATTGGTGCGCTGTTGCGGCCTCCCGCGGGGAGGCGAGCGTGCAGCACGTTGCATTCAAACACGCCCGAATTCCTTGGGCGATCAAATGCTTCCTGCTCCAGCTCCTCCTCCTCCTCCTCCTCCTCCTCCTCCTCCTCCTCCTCCTCCTCCTCCTCCTCCTCCTCCTCCTCCCCCTCATCCTCCTCCTCCCCCTCCTCCCCTTCCTCCCCCTCATCCTCATCCTCATCCTCATCCTCCCCCCTCTCCTCGTTCATCGATCTATCTGGTTACTGAACTGAACTGTGCAGACCAACTGAACGAACTGAACGAACTGAACTGTCCGGACCTCCGACGCGCTGGAAAAGTGTCAAGGCGCAAGGTTGGTCACCTTGTTCGGCCTCGGGGGGCCCTCGCCGGTCCCAGGGACTGTCCGAAAACGGCTCGGGCGGAAAGGTGGGTCGAGACTGCCATGTCAGGGGCCGCGTTTTTGCCAAAACCAAAAACAATGCTGGGGCCCACCGCTGCGGGAAACCCATCAGCGTGCTGCTGCTGAGGAACCACCAGGGGGTCTCGGCCATAGAGCAGGGCGCGACACGCTGACGGGCACCCCACGGCAGCGTGTCGTTGATGCCTCCCCCCTCTTTCAGCGGCGGCCCTCGGGATGGAGTGCGACGGGGCGGACCCTCTCGGAAGGCTCGGAGGTCCCCTGGCCTGGCTGAGAAGTGCTCTGGGCTTGCCCCGAAGGCACCAAAAAAACTTGTCGGAAGGCCAGAACTGCAGGCCTAGAAATGGGCACCAACACCAACACAGGAGGAGGAGGAAGAGGAGGAGGAGGAGGAGGAGGAGGAGGAGGAGGAGGAGGAGGAGGGGGAGGGGGAGGAGGGGGAGGGGGAGGGGGAGGAGGTGGAGGAGAAGGAGGAGGAGCAGGAGGAGCGGTGGGTGTGGATGCCCTCCAGCGGCGGAAGAGGGAGAGGCGGGCCCTGGCCTTGAGCGCGGCCGCCAGCTCGGAGGCGGCGTGCTGCAGGGACACGTCGCAGAGCAGCACCAGGGACGTCGGGGGCTCCTGCCGACCAGCCCTCGAGCTCGGGGGCGCGGAAACATGAATTGGCGATCCATGGATTTGGCGCGCCGTCGCCAAATCCATGGTTCGGGGAGGGGCCCTCCCCAAAGTGCGGCCGGCGCCGCCTCGTTCGGCGGCGGGAATATGCGATTTCCCATGGAAACGGGACCCGTCGCTAATCCACGCCCCCTTGATCCATGTTTGCGATCGCCTGAGACCAGCCCTCGAGCTTGGTCCCACCCCTGAGATTAGGTCGGGCGTACAAAAATTACCCCGAAAAGACCCCAAAATGCTCACAAGTGGTCAAGAATCGTCCCCAGACTATGCTTGGGAAAGCATAGTCTGGGGACGATTCTTGAGGGACCGGCCCGAGTGAACCCCTTAGATTGACAGGCCCAGGAGGCGTGCCAAGACAAGCGAGGCCTGCCGCTTGCCGGTCGAGAATTCGGCGGCCCGTGTGGGCGGCAGGCGCACCGTTGCCATGGGAAGGGCCTGCGGGTGTAAAAGCTACTGCCTGACACACTGCCCAGCGCGCACCTCATATTATCATTCGTAGGCGGCCCATACATCTGGGCGTGAAGCAGTCTATTTTTTTTGACAGGCGCCCTGAACCCAATTCTCAACTCAGGGTAACGATGAAGAACAGACTAGTCTACCCGTCATTGCGGGTCAGTCTGAACTTCCTGAAGATTGCTAGCCACGATTCCCGTTGCTTCTCCGGCAAAGCGCCCCGGGCTTGAGCGGACTGGGCAGGACAAGGTACTCTTTGACCACGTATGTTCCACCCGGCGTGCTCTCTGAAACTGAGGGAACCGTTATACGATCGGCGTCGAGACGAGGTGGTGCCCATCATGGGGGCAAGATGCTTCGGGCTGGCAGCCTCGGCTGCACGGAAGCGCGACCCTGGGCAAGACTGACCTCTGGCGCGCGGCTCGAGGGGGCCGCGGGGGGGGCCAAACCCACTCGCACGAGCCGCTGCTCTCGCATCGCATTCAGCGATCGGGGGGCCCCAGTGGGCCCGCAGCAACTGCCTCGAAGAACGCGTTCCACTACTCGCAAAGCAGCTGCTCGCAAATCCTCTGGATCGGGCGTGTGGGGAAACCAGAAGGTACCGATACCACTACTCCCCTGACCTCTCCCGGGGTGCGTTCTGCCCAGAATTTCGAGGCGAATCCAGCGGTGGCGACGAGGGCCTCCCAGGAGGCCCAAAAAGGGGAAAACGAGGCAGGGGGTAGAGGTATGGGTGCCTGTTCCTCCTCGGAGTTTGCGAGAGGGCGCGCTGCGAGTAGTGAAACGCGCCCAATGACTGTCGCTCCGGCGAAAGGCCACCCTTCCGTGCAGCCGAGGAATCCTGCGGTTGGCGGCACCGCGCGGGCAGGCAAGAGAGCCGGCTCGCGTACGCCTCCTGCCGCTGCCTCCCGGCAGCGGCCCGGCGGTGACCGGCAGCGGAAGCCCGGCAGTGACCGCCTCGAGTCATGAGAAAATCACGACGGGAAGTGTTTCACAATTTTCGGCCTCGGGGGGCCCTCGCCGGCCCTCGGAGCCGTCAAAAAACGACTCCGGACGAGAAACCGGTCTTGGGGAATGGGTCCGGACCTCTGGGGGTCGCGTCATGAAACAATCATGACGTCGGGGGTCTGGGGATCATGGCGTCGCACTGTTTTCACACCGGGCGCCTCCCAGTCACTCGGGCCCAGGGGCCCGAGTGGACCGCTGCTGCTTTGGAAATGCCGCAGAAAGGCGGGGTCAAAGGTTAGAAAGTCCAGGGTTCGCCAGGGACTGGTTCCCTTCGGAGGCAGCCGAAACCCTCGCGAGACCCTTCGAAGACCCTCCTTCGGAAGGGTTCTGGGATGCTCTCCAGAGGGTTTCGGAAGGGTGTTGGAAGGCTCTTCGTCGTTCAGAGGGGGAAGCTTGTCCATAGCGAACCAGGGCTTTCGAAGTCTCAAAGGTTCTGGCCATGGTTTCTGACACCGTCGAGATTATTGGCGACGTCTGAAGCAGGGACCGACCGTCCCGGCAGTTCTATAGGCCTACCACGACATGTTGTTAGAACACAGACATGTTCTGATAACAAAAACATGGTTCTCAGAACATGAGCCCGATGCGTTACAGCAAGACGGTCCCGGCCAGAAGCGCTCTAAGAACAGTTCGCGGAAGCCACAAGAGGGTCTTAGGACACTGTTTGGCAAGCCTACAGGCACGCCAGGGCGCTTCGCCACTGCTTGAACGTCGGCTCTCCGGGGAGAGTGGCCCGGCTGTGGCCCTGCAGAACGGCAGAGGCCCAGTGGCGGCCCAGCCAACCAGGCCCTGTCCGAGCCTGGGCTCAGTGCGGGCTCCGGCTCAGGCTCGGGCCTCTCTTGATGGGCCAGCTTACCACCGCCACTGCCACGTGCAGGACGGGGGAGAAGGGAGGATGGGGAGGTCCTCCTCCTCGCCTCCTCCTCCTCCTTCCCCTCCTCCCTCTCCTGCCTATGGCAGTGGTGGTGGGGAATCGGCCCACCACCACCAGTAGGAGGGGGAGGGTGTCCTCCTCCTCCTCCCCCTCCTCCTCCTCCTCCGAGGCCGCGGAACGGAGGCTCGCGGCGTCAGCATGACGGCGGGCCAACGCCCGCCCCCGCCCCGTCGCGCGCGCACGCTGGGCAACGCGCACGAGGGGGCAGCAAAAGGTGGCGCTGGAAGGGGGAGACGATGGGCCTGTCCCCCACCACCACCGCCACAAGCTGGAGGGGGGAAGGAGGTGGAGGATCGAGTATCGAGCCATTCGACGCAGTCAAGAACCGGTCAGCATTGCCAAGAAGCTGAGGCCACTTCCCCTGCGGAGGAGGAAGAGGACCCCCTCCCCCTCCTACTTGTGGTGGCGGCGGTGGAAAACAAGCCCACCAGGAGACGCCAATGGGTGTGGTGGGGCTGGCCCGCGAGGGAGAAGCACAAGACGGCCAGAGAAGCTCTCCTCTGGTCTGGCCAGTGCCCCCTGTTGACTCAACTTGACTGAGCACTGGACCACCCCAACCCAGCCCGAAGTCCCAAATTGCGGGTTGGGGGGCGTACGGATTCCATCTGCGCGTTTTCAGTGTTCCGGGATGCCCCCCCCACTGGGAATGGAAATGGAAGGCAGCTTGTGTGGGAAACACTTCTGTCCATATCCACTACAGCTTTCAACTTCGGGCTCCCTTCCTATAAAACCAGGCGCACTGGATATGAATGGAAATCTGCCCCCTGAGGAGGCTTGATTCGTCATTATATCCAGTGCGCCTCGGCCTTGTGGCGCCTTTTCCAGGGAAGTCCAAGACACACCAGATATGGACATAAATCTTGCCCGCAACCAGGGGCACTCGGGTTGGGTTGGGCTGGTTTGTTGGGTGGCGACCTGTTCACCCTGAAAACCAGAGCCTATGCCTGGGCGTCTTGAACACACGGGGTCCCCTGGAAGCCCCGCCCCTGTCACTGGGGCCAGTTTTTCATCCCCGACGATCCCGGGGCCCAGCGAGGGCCCCTGAAGCAAAAAACGAAAACCCTCGAGGGGGTCTTGGAAGCTCCTAGCCACGTCTTCTCCCTAGCGCAGCATTCCGCACAGGATCCGTGTCTGATGGCCCCGGGTCCTGGAAACGTCCCCGCAGGCCGACATCGGGGCGGGGGGGCCAACAATACCAACAACAACAACAACAACCACAACACTAACAACAACAACAACAACAACAACAACAACAATCACTTTACCCGAACGCTCAGTGTTCTCACCAGTGCCAGGGTTTTCATGCGACGCCAGCCAATACCCCCACTTTGTGGGGGGGCAGTGCAAGCTCTACCAAATATCCACACGACTCTTCGCCACCACCCACACCCAGCTTCCCGCCCTATGACGTTCGGACACTTCACTTCGTGGCCTGCGGACGACCGTGGCTACTACACTGGCGTGGAGTACACACCCACAGAAGTTGTTAGGACAGCGCGCGCGGGTAGAAATTTTGAAAAGTCGTGCAGGTGTTTTTCGAGGACCTACGGTGCGATTCGTGTGATTTTATGATGCGCGGTGCTAAAATTCTTAAGAAGCCCAATGGTTTTTGGAGATTTCGGCGTGCGCGCGCGAAGAAAAAACGAATGTGTCCCGCATGGTATTATTTGACAGGGATGATGGCCCTGGCAGGTGCGCAACCGTTGTCGCAGAAGTTCGAAAAAGTTGCTCGCAAAAGCCCGTTTGACAGAAATGTTTAAAAAGTGTTGGGTTTCCTACGAATCCGCAAGAGCGCGCGGGATGAGATTTTGACATTTTTTTGTTGAAAAACCATTGGTTTTTTGATGTTTTTATGTTAAAATCGCTCCGAACACTAAGCTTTTGGAAGGATTTCGTCTTGCGCGCGCGAATGTCCACTTTACCTTATTTTTTGCAAGGGATTCTTGAAATTTGATTATATTAGAACAAGAAATGTCATTTTATAGTGTTTTTTGCAAGGGAAAGCGGGGGGGAACAAAACAACCGGATCTTGATCACATCGAATTACCTGAGGCTTCCTCACGAAAATGATGAAAATGTAGCTGCGGCCTAGGCGGCGCGGGGGGGGCGTGCACCAGGGGGCCCAACAATAATTATTCTTTAGAATTAATAATGTTCAACAACAACAACAACAACAACAACAACAACAACAACAACAACAACAACAACAACAACAACATCAACAACATCAACAACAACAACAACAACAACAATCACAACCACAACCACAACCACAACCACAACCACAACAACAACAACAACAACAACAACAACAGCAACAACAACAACAGCTACAACAAGCATTCTAAGACTGTTCGATCTTACTTGCCCGTGTGTGATTCAAGACGAGCTCCCCACACCCTCAATACCCGCCCATTTTGTTTTCGATCACACCCCATTTGGGGGGATTAGTTCTTCTTGTGGGGGGCGGCGGGCTTAGACAGGCGGGCAAACCTGAACGGGCGACAATCCTTCGTGGGCGTATATGTGCCCACCATTGGAATTGGTGGGC